GCTGTTCTGCAGGGTCCTGTTCAGTCGTTCTGCAACACCTTGCTGCTGATGTGCGTAGGGAAGGGAGAGGAGTTGCTTGATCCCCCTTTCCGCCAGGAACTGCTTGAAGCGGTGAGAGGTGTACTCGCCACCTCCGTCTGACTGGAAATTTTTCAGTTGTGTTTCAGACTCTCTCTCTGCTATCGGTAGCCAGGCGGCGAATGCTGCGAGCGCCATGTCGCGGCTGGGTAGGTTGCGATGCCAGACGTATCGAGTGGCGGCGTCGATGAAGGTAATGGTGTAGTTGTAGTTGACTTGTCCTGGTTCGCGATTGTAGAGGGTGTCGCTGTAGACTTTTTCGAGTGGTGTGTACGCTGGAGCGCTCGGGTTGTGGTGTGAAGCAAACGGTCGATGAGGTAAGTCAGCTTCGGGACATATAAGGCAAGTCCCTCGTGCCTTCTGGAGTTCTCTGCCATCGGGTAGGAGTAGAGAGTCTTTGTCGAGGACTCCTGCTCTTATCGTGTTATTCAAAACCGTGTTGCTTGGATGTCCTGTGCGTGCGTGCCAGATCTCTTCAGAGGCGCGGTGTCCAGGTGAACGCTGATATGCGTCGGAGTTGGAGTAAAAGCTGGCGACGAGGTTGGCGCTTCGGTGGACTTCACGTTGAGTCGGATTCAGCTGTTGCGCGGGTGTTGGTGGTGCTTCGTCGACTGTGACTGGTGTCGTTGTTCCTGCTGCTGCTGATGTTGTTGCTGCTGCCGATGTTGTTGCTGCTGCTGATATTGTTGCTGCTGCTGATGTTGTTGCTGCTGCTGATGTTGTTGCTGCTGCTGCCGATTGTCAAATTGTTGCTAATGCTCGTGTTCGTTCTGCTTCAGGAATGGTGTGCGAGTACCAGAAGCCTCCTGGGCTGAAGTCGGGGTCGAGATCCGGAGGGTGTGTCCAGTCAGTGAAGTTCACGATGGCGTCGCTGTCTGCAGTGCCCAGGTCAGGAACGAAGTCGAGGACGAAGACGTTGTTCTTCAGCACTGCCTTCCCGATGTAGAGACCGCCTCTCCCGTGGTAAAGTTTGAACTCCTGGGTCGTGCTGTCGGCTTCCAGATGAATTCCTTTCGCCATCAACTGGCTAACGCTCAGTAAGTTGTAGCCGAGTCCTTCAGCGATGAGTACCTTAGACATGTGCAGTATGACATTTGTTTCTCTTGACTGAAGCTGTACCACTCCTTGTCTTCGTGTGCGCAGGTTTTGGTTGTTGGCAACCGTGATGATCACTTCCCGTTGGAGTCGATGTTCGCGTTGTACGAAACGCCCGGACGAGCACATGTGTTGCCCGCAGCAACTGTCCAAGAACCAGGTGTCTTGGCCGGACGGTTCACTTTGAGCGATGGCGGCGTACGTTGGATTCGGCTGGAGTAGCTCACGGCGAGGTTTTCTGTTGTCAAGCTCTTCTTCCGGTGAGTAGTGTGGTGGTGATTCGGTTGTACACGAATCGGTTATCTTCGTCATGCAGTTGATTATATTTCTTGCTCCTTGTGCAGGTTGTCCGGGTGAAGTCGTTGAAGCTTGAACAGTGGTCGTCGCTCTTGCTTGTGTTGAAGCCATTTGGGAGCTTGAAGGTCGAAGTTGTCGCTGTGGTGCCGTTGATTGCTGACGATTCGGGCAGTGTGTGCGCGGGTGCCCTGAAGTCTTGCAGATGTGGCAGAAGGGAGGTACTATCTTCGGTTGCTGCTGTCGGTTGTTATAATTGCTGTGTCGTCGTTGAGTGTGGAATGCGAACTCTGATACTGTCGTTTTCTTCCTGTGTCGTTCTTCCTGCAGGTCCATATCTTGTTGCTCGGCATGTATTTCGGCGCAGAGTGCAGCTTCAGAGATTCTTCCGTGGGCTCGAAGAATGGCTTTGGTGGCGCGCCACTGAGGACCAAGTCCACCAATGATGACTGTCACGAAGGCGTCTTCAGAGATTGACCCTCCGCATCGAAGCAGCTTGTCGCGCAGTTCGCGACATCGGCTGATATACGCCAGTCCATTTTCTCCTGGTTTCATTTCGACTGTCGTCAACTGCGCCATTAACCTGCTCTGGTTTACACTGTCTGTTGCTTGATACAGGTTCTTCAGATGGCTGTACGCGAGCTCCGCCGAGTTGCCGAAGGTCCGGTAAGAGCGAATGTTCTGCTGCTGAGTTGGTGTCACGTTCCTCAATAGGATTGTATACGCCATCATTGATTGATACGTATACTGCTGCTTTTCATATTGTGTCCCGTTGGCTGGATACTGCAGGGACCCGTCGAAGAAGCCAAGTATCTGCGCGCCCTCCATCATCAGCTCGAATTCAAAGGACCAGGTAAAGAAGTCTTTGCCGTCGAAGGGTCTTGACGTTTGCAGTTTTAAGACGTGTGCAAACTGCGACTGAACTTGAAGTGCGTCCAGTGGTCTTTCTTGTCCAGGTGAAGGTTGCGGGTGGGGCACGAAGCTGATTGACCCGCGCTCGTACGGAGCAAAGGTAGGTTGCTGCTGCTGGTTTCCTCGCGTATATGACGACCCATCAAGACTCATGGGTGTCGCTCCGTTGTTGCTGTTGTGTGTTTGTGCAGGTCCCGACTGCTGGTGTTGTTCGTAGAAGGACATGAAGGAGAAAAATTTCTCCATCATGTTCTGGTCAAAGTCCGAAGGGTGGTTCATGGGGGTCTCGGTTGACGTTCCTCTTGGTCTTGTTGCCGTGCCTTCTTCTGTCTGCAGGCCAGAGGCTGGCGGTGGAGTAGGAGTAGTGCCCGAGGAGCCATTAGGGGAGCTCCTTTCCTTGTTTGTTGCCATGTCTTGTAATGATCTTGAAAAAAAAAGAGTAGAGTTTCCCTTGTCTGCTCTCATACCATGTTGGGCTGAGATAGCCCCTTAGGATCTTTGCAAGGGATAACTCTAGGTGAAGTAGTTGTAATAGCGGAAGCTTTTAGTGAAGAATTTGAACCGACCTTGCACTGGTGTGTGAGAGCAAAGTTGATTAAATTAAACAAGCAAATACAAGGATTTATATAAGAGTACAGGGAATACGAATAGATAGGTAGATAACTGTATTGCTGTTGCGGTTCGATACAGTGCGACTCGGGCAACTGCTCTGTAACGAGTCAGTTGTGTGTCCTTAACTGTCGCGCTGTAATTGTCGAGTCAAAGGTCGGCGACCTTTGACTTTCTCGTAACCTCCAGGCGGTTACCCTAACCTCCGAGGTTGACTCGATGCTTCGATTGGGACTGCTTCGCTTGGTGCCTTGGGTTTTGATGCGACAGAAGCGCGCTTAGGACTTATTGTTTCCAACACCCTGCAAGTGTACCTGAGGAGCCAGGGTTTCCGCGATGTACACGCACTCGCGTAGCGGAGGGGGCTTCTTGAGGGGGGGGGGGGGGGGGGGGGGGGGGTAGTCTAAGGAATTTTCTCGATATTCCTTAGCGGGCCCAGCAACATCGCGTACAGCAGCAGCCGTTGTTCGCCCGTTACTGCAAACGGGGCTTCGCCAACTTTGCGTGCACTGTTTCACCAAACCTCGCACTGGCCCGGCCGTGTCGGTCTACGCTTCACGACTAGCCCGAGCCTCGCTGCCAGCGTAGCACTAGCTAGCTCACACGCACCGCGTTACCGTTTGCATGTTTCGCGTATAAATGTTCGCTCATGCCTTCGCTCACATTTTGTACTCGTTTGACACCTTAGTGCAATTCTCGCTACTTCAATTCATTGCACCCGTAACAAGCAGACTCAAACCACAATTCATTACCACAGTACACTCAGCTGCCATGCAACTGTAAACTTGAAGACAGTTGAATATTATACAATACTTCAAACCATACATAATACAGTTATAATACAGCAGTTATACAGTCCCCTCTGTTATTTGTCCTGCCAATGTCATGCATTTGTTAGCCAGAAATCACTTCAAGACGCCGCAACTTGGCGATGCATCACTGCTTTCACGAGCCGCTTCCATTTATTCCCAGGGCCCACCTTTGTGGACCCTTCCCTCAATCCTTCATCTCTTGAAGCAACCAGTTCCTTGTGACCACCCAACTCTTCGCCCGACAAATCAACAGGTTTCTCTGAGCATGACAGAACCTCAAGGGTTGTGTCAGTAGTCTCAGCAAGCCCACTTCCTGCCACAGCCCTTACGGACGGTGACTCAGCCAATGGGGAATTCAAATCTGCTCGTCTTGGCCCTGCCCTGAATCTAGACGGTGCCAACACAGGTCCTCCACTCGATCCGCTCCCACTAGCGCTTAACCGAATCTTGGATGGCGAAGAGGCTCTCGGCGACCCACTGTTGAACACCGAAGCAGCCAATAACGGGGATGGAGGGCCTGCTAGTGTAGGTGCTGCGCAAGCTACAGCAGCAAGAGCAGGAGAGTTGGGTCCACTGGCAGGTGTTCTCCTAGCACACCCATCAGAGTCAAATTCCCCCTTCTCCCTTCGCTGATAAGCTCCCATGATCTTTCCAGGGGTGGCAGGTGATAGGCCAGGGTTCTCCAGGCATTCCCCAGGGGAGGACTCTTGGTATTCCCGAGGAGAGTTGCGAGGGGATTCAACAGGGGAGGAGGAGGACCAGCAGGAGGAGAGAGGCGAGCAGGGGGAGTTGGAAAAGAGAGCCGACTGGAATCGCATGAGGGCGGCGGTCGGGGAGGCGATGGAGGAGGGGGAGGAGGAATATGAGGGTGAGGGAGAGGATGAAGAGGAGGCAGAGGCGGAAGAAGATGCTGTAATTGACTGGTGAGTGCGATGCTTGGACGGAGAGGCTACGCTGGTAGAGGATGGCGTGCGTGACTGCCGCCCCCAATTTGGAGAATCGAATCGTGACGATGGGGAATCGAATCTCGATGACGGGGAATCAAATTTTGAGGGGGAATCGAATCTGGACGGAGAGTGGACTTCGGAAGGAGATTCGAATCTTGAGGTTCTCGAATTGGAGTCCATGTGGGGGGAGCGGTATGGGGAGTGTAGTTGGGAGGGGGAGGAGCAGCTGGGAGAGTGTAGGGTGGGGAGGTCAATGTGTGGGTGTCGGTTCCGCAGGTGGGCGATCTTGACGGGGAGAAGGGGCCTGGGTAAGGTGCTGTTGGGTGCGGTGCTGCTGGGTAGGGTGCTGCTGGGTGGGGTGCTCCTGGGTGGGTCGGCATGGTTGGGTGGGGCGGTGGGGACAGTAGAGGCAGCAGTGGAAGAGACGGTGGCAGGAGCAGTGGAGGGATCAGCATTGGTGGAAGCAGCAGCAGCAGGAGTATGTACATTGCGGGCTGCAATCTTTCCACCGCTACTGCTGCTGCTGGTGCAGTTATCACCAGAGCTCGAGCCGCTTACTGCCTCAGCAGAAGACAGAGAAGCTTCAGTTGCGGAGGCGGGAGGAGTTGAGGCCGGTGAGGAATGGTCTGGGAAGGTTATATGGTACGAGACTTGAATCTGAGAGCGAGGACGAGAGGGACGCCCCTGCTGCTGCGCCGGCGCCCCACCTGCCTGCTTTTGCGTTTGCTCCTGTGTGACGTCAGGAAGGCCCGCAGTGACGTCAGCCACCTGGATGTCCACAAAAAGCAGCTTGATTCCCGCGGCGTCCTTGGCTTGGCAGACGGCAGAAATATCTCGCCAATTGACGCACTCCACTTCAGCAAACTCCTCCAGGTCACCCCACTCGCTCTCCTCCGCTGTACCCCCACCAACCTGTTCCTCCTCGTTGCCCTCGGAGCGGTCTTGGAGTTCCTCATTGCCCCTCATTGGCTGCTGGCGACCCACGTCTCTTAGGCTCACCCCCGTTTCCGTCAAGCCCGCTTTCGCCGCGTCCGATTGCGTCACATCCGCTGTGATGCTGCTCTGGTTGCTGCGCGTCGCCGCGAGAGAAAGCGACGTTGCAACTGAAATCGCACTTGTTGCCGCGTTAGAGCTGTAATTGGCGACACTCGCACTTGTCGTCAGGCTGCTGTTGCTGCTGCTGCGACTGAATGCGACGCTGCTGCCGTCGCTTGCGCAAGTTCTCTTGATGGTCGACACGCTGAACTCGCTGCTGCTGCTGCCAAGACTCGCGAGGCTCGCGATGCTTGCGACGCTGGCGACACTGGCGACGTTTGCAACGTTTCTAGTAGACGGAACGCGTGCGACTCTGGGAAAGCTCTCGCTGCTGCTTCCGCTGCCCGGGATGCTTGCGACATTAGCTCCAGCGTCGCTCGCGCTGCTTGCGACGGCGTTCGGAACGCTCATTATCGCCTGCATCCTTCGCCCGCCGCTTCGCCCGCTTCTCACCCTTGTAATATCGGAGCGCGATCCCTGCTCCGCCGAAAATGGCGGCGACGCGTCAACGCTGCGACTCACCGGAATCGCGCCGTTTTGATTCCGCGCGACAGGGGGGTTTCGGGCAGAAGATTCGCGCGCAGGGGAGTCGCTTTTCCCCCGCAAACCGTTGGAGAAGCCGCGAGCGGCTCGTGGGGGAGGGCGCCGTGAGAGCCGCCGCGGAGCCCGTTGGGGAAGGCGAGGGACTCGACGAGCCGTTGGATGACTGGAATGCGAGGAATCCGACGGCTCGCGATGGCGTTCGGATGAAAGCTGCCGAGTTGTGACGGAAAAGGCGGCGGCGATGGAGCAACGAGTCGCGTTTTCCGGTGTCCCCTCCGTTAGTACCGACCGCGCCGCTTATTTCGTGCGCGCTATCACGTGCTCCGCCGAATTCCCCGCTGGTGCTTGGTCTGCATCGAAAACGCCGGTCTTGCGACTCGAAGAGGTCAAATGCCGCTTCGAGCGGGCCCGACCGAGGTCTATCCAGCGGCTGCGCCTCAGTAATCTCCAACTCACTGGTGTAGCGGCTGAAGCGGCGGCTGAAGCGATCGCTTGCGCCAATGGCGTTCCGGCCGGTGCTGATGCTCCGGGAGTTGCGGCCGCTGCTGAAACTGGTGCCGCGAAAAGTACTCTCCGCAGGGATAATGTCGTTGACCGGTGAGGCAAATCGCGCGCTAATCTTTCTGTCGCGTTCCTTTATTGAAGCCATCGTTCGTCGGGGAACGGGGGGATAACGTCGTTTACCAGGTGCTAGAGGAGACGCTTATAGAGAGGTAAGGAGGCAGGCGGTGGATTATAAGTTCTGAAATGACTGGTTATTGCGCGGGAAAGGATCAATATTGGAATGCCGAGTCCAGCGCTCAAGTACGATCGGCGGCGTTCAATAGCTGCGTTCCTTTGGATACGGCAGACGGAGGGTGGCTCTTCCGTCTCGGTTCGCGAATGAAGTATCAACTACTCCCTGCATATTATTTACCCCTTTACTTGCAAGCGAACTATATGTGCTCAGTGCTTCCACCTGAAAATCCTGCATGTCAATCAAATGCCACCCCATGCATCCCCCCTCAGCTCACCAGCCTACCCCGCGTCTGCAGCAATTCTACCCTGGCTTCGCTCCTCACCAATTTCGCCCACGCCAACCCAATTGATTGCTGAAGATGTAGCGACTCGGGAGTTGTGAGGGAGAAAATTGCACGCGGCACGGTCACAGCAACAACTGTGGTAAGGAATCCTGGCCGTGGGGTTCGGGGCAAGATTGCGTCATCGACGGGGTGGATTGCTTTCGAGAGATCTACCTGACTCTAATGGGCAAGATTAGCCAATCAGAGGGCCCAATAAACATTAGGGACGGCCGGCTTGGGTTCAGCCAAGCCAGCTTGCTAACTCTTCTTCATTTGGACTGACGCAACAACCTCAGGTGTGAGCGTTACCGAAACTGTGATGGGCAGGATTTGTGACGTGTTCACCAACATCGCTGCACGCGTGCTAACAAAACAAACTTCTGTCAGGTGGAAACCTTGAATTTGAAAAGCTGCTGTTTCCCCGGCTCTGTCCGGACCCTTAGGAGGGAAGCAGTCCGGAGGGAGGATCTTGTAAGAAGCTCCAAAAGAGGTGTGTAGCGGCAGCAAGCCTAATTGTCAGCACTTGACGGCGTGACCAATCCAGCAATGTCGTTTTGCTAAGTGTTTTGTTTTGTCGAAGGTTTTGCTCTGCCCGATTCAGAAGCAATCCGACAAACAAACTAATCACGGTTGTTTGAATAGAAATAGCTTCCAATCAATTATTTGTTGTAACGATCTCAGTCGGTCCGAGGTCGGGCGAAGGTGGGTGTCTGGTGGTGATGCTCCATGGAAGCTGGGTTCGCACCTCAGTCTGGTCAGACAAGAGTTGACTCGCCTTGTCCGCGTAACAGCAATCTCGATTGCACGTTCATCAAGAGTATGCGCAGGAGCTAGCTCATTTCGAGGTATACTATAAGTCTTTACAGCTTGTATCCATGGAGGAAACCTGGGTTACGAACAATTCCTTATTGCATCGCGACCTCGATACAAGGAGCAGACTTTCTCGTCGAGACACTCGATTGGTTAAAATTCCTGCTGAGCTGGTCATGACGTGGCGTTTCTCCAGCTCCTGAACGCTCATTGCACGGTGCCAGATCAGCAAAAACGTCCAATCCCGACCTGCGACCGTGTATGGAAACTGCCGGGAAACGCATAGCTGTCTTTCGCGAAGGATGAGCGAAATGAACTGCGAGCAAAACTGGCGATTATCCCTTTCGGCCGCAGAATCTTTGCCCAGCAGTGATGCTGGCGAAACGTGTAACTCGTAACTGTCGTCCGGTAATCAACCTCGCGGTAGATTTCTGGGCTTCAGGGGGGGCTGAAAATTTCGGGGTATATTAGCGCACTGCGAACAGGGAGAACACACCAGGTAGCAGCTACTAGCAGCGCCGTGTGCGCTTCAACAAGGTTCTGCGTGACCTACGCATTTTCAACCAGAAGCGCGATTCTGCGCGACTTTTGTCCCGAGCCTGCGCGTGACAAAGCCTAGAGTTCAAAGCCTCTATTTGTCTCATCCACTTGCTCGCTTAGAGCTCTCGAAGATTCCCTGGTAGTAGTTCAATTCTCAGCGCTAGTTGCTGACGTGTCGACTCACAACAGGCCGTCGAGGAGTTCAGAGAAGTCACTGACGGCTCCTCAGAGAAGCGCAACACCCCGTTATAAGCACAGCCAGAACCACACCCGGAAACGCTGCCGGAAGCGCAGCATTCGTTAGAACGCACTTCGCGGGAAGGGATCCCCCGGTATCTCAACGTCGAGATATGGCGGCGGCATCTGCGGCGGCAAATGCGGCTCTGTCGACGCCCGTGTTCGTGTACGGCACGCTCATGGCGGACGAGGTGCTCCGCGCGCTGCTCGACCGAGTTCCCGCCTCCGCGCCCGCGCGCCTGCCCAACTTGTGAGTTGATTCCCGCACCCCCTCCTCCCCCCGTCCCCCCGCCGTGCCGTACGGCACGCTCATGGCGGACGAGGTGCTCCGCGCGCTGCTGGATCGAGTCCCCGCGTCCGCGCCCGCCCGCCTGCCCAACTTGTAAGCCCGCAGTAGCTCCCTCCACTTCCTTCCCCCTTAACTCCCCGCAAAGCCCCCCACAACTCCCACTCACCCCCCTCACCCCCCCTCCCCCACTTCCCAGTATCAAGGGGCTGCAATCCCCCCAGTGCTCCCTTTTCCGCCCCTTCAGTCCCTCCTTTCTCTCCCTCCGCTCCCTCCCCCACCTTAACCCCCTTCCTTCCTGCCCCCCCCCCTTCCCCCCCCCCAGCAGGCGGCACAGCATCAAGGGGCGGCAACACCCCGCACTAGTCCCCTTCATTCCCCACAACCACCCCACCACCCCCCCCCCCCCCCCCCCCCCCTTCCTCCCCCCACCAGCTCGCGGCACAGCATCAAGGGGCGGCAATACCCCGCAGTGGTTCCGAAAGCGCACGACTCCGTGATGGGGAAGGTGCGGCGGACGGGGGGAATGGTTGGGGAAGGGGGAGGAAGGGGGAAGAAGCTGATTGGCAGAGGAAGTAGGTGAGGAAAGAGGCTTAGGGTGCGGGAGAGGCTGGGAGAGAGTCTGGGGGGAAGGCTGGGAGAGAGGCTGGGGGGAAGGCTGGGGGGAAGGCTGGGGAGGAGACGCTGGAAGAAGGTGGGAGAGTGGCTGAGAGGCTGGGAGAGTGGCTGGGGGAGAGGCTGGGGGAGAGAGGCTGGGGTAGAGGAGGCTGGGGGAGAGGAGGCTGGGGGAAGGAAGGGGGTGCGTATGAAAGAGATTCACTTTGTTCCTTTGTTGTTGTTCTTTTCTTCCCAAAGTGTTGTGGAGTTTCCATGATGCATGGTGGTGTTTTCTTTCCCCTTCTGTGCTGATACATGTTTTCTTTCCCCTTCTGTGTTGATACATGTTTTCTCTGCTGTGCCCCCTCTTCTGAAACTCCTCATCCCTCATCTCCTCCTCCTTCTTTCTTTTCTCTCCTTGTTATGTCTAAAAAACTTCCTCCTGCTCCTCTCCCCTTATCACTTCCCTCCCTCCCACCTCTCCCCCTTCCCTCTGCCCTCCCCCCAGCTGCTCCTCAACCTCTCCCCACCAGAAATGGACCTCTTTGACGCCTTTGAGGATGTGGAGTATGCGCCTTCTACCCAGCCAGTTTCTTGATCTTACTCCTCGCTTCCACTTTCCCCTTCCCCCCTTGCCCCCTCCGCCCTCCCCCCAGCTGCTCCTCAACCTCTCCCCACCAGAGATGAGCCTCTTTTACGCCTTTGAGTATGTGGAGTATGTGGAGTATGTGGAGTATGTGGAGTATGTGGAGTATGTGCGCTGCTAACAACCAGTCCCCATCCCATTCCCCCTGCTCCCCCTGCTCCCCCCAGCTGCTCCTCAACCTCTCCCCGCCAGAAATGAGCCTCTTTGACGCCTTTGAGGATGTGGAGTATGTGCGCTCCACCCAGCTAGTTACCCTACAAGGGGTAGTTACCCAGCCGATTTCCCCACAAGGGTTAATTACCCAGCCAGCTTCCGGGCAAGGGTTGACACGAGGGGAGGGAGACTCTCAGGCAGCGGAACAAATTGAGCAGCTGCAAGCAGGGGAGGAGGCGAGCAAGGCGTTGGGGGGAGGAGGGGGGGGGAGAGGGAGGAGAGGGAGAGATGAAGGCGTTTGTGTATGTGTGGGCGAATATAGAGGATCCTGACCTCTATGGGTCATGGGATTACGAGGTACGAGACTCTCTTCTTTTGCCTCCCCCCTTCCTCCCCTTCCCCATTCTCCCCTGCCTGGCCGAATGCAAAGGACGCTGACCTGTATGGGTCATGGAATTACGAGGTAAGTGCTCACTTTTTCCCCCTTCCCACTTTCCCCCCACCTTCCCCCTCTCCCCCCCCCCCCCCCCCCCCTCCCCCCGCTTTCTCGCTCTCTTGCCCCCGCCTTGTCCCCCCTTTTCGCTCCCTCTCGCCCCCGCCTCTCCCACCCTCTTCCCCGCTGCATTTGTGTATGTGTGGATCGGTGCACTGTACGTGGAAGTCAAGTGGGATGTGCCAAGATAATACGCGTACCAGAAATCATGCAACTCAGCGCATCGCTGGTATAACAAACTTAAGAGATCTTTTCGGTCAAGTATATATCCTCTTTTTTTTTTTTTTTTTTACGTTTTCATGCAGGCATGGAGGCAAGAGCATATGGAATATTTTGTAATTAGGTGCCGTTCTTTTGCTAGGGGTTGGAGGGAGAGGCAGGGACGCAGGCTTGCGGGCAACTTCTAGCCTTTTTGTTTTTGAAGTTGTTAAACTACACTCTCCTATCATCCCTCACACCCCCCTTCCCTGTCCTTTTTCTCACTATCTATATGTCTGTATGCTTCTGGCTGCGTTGACACTGCACTCCTCCTGGACGGAGCATGTTCATAGGCATGGCGCACCAAATGGCTTGACTCGTATGTTGCGATGTGCCGAGAATTTGCGCAAGAATGGAAGGAAGGCGGGTCGTGGAGCGGCATCGAGCATAGAGAAACATTGCAGGCGAAAGGCCCAAACTCCCTGTGACGGATAATGTTTACGACTGTCACAATGTCTGTGTTTTACTGTATCTAAAATTGATGCTATTGTATTATCTCTAAAAAATCGTGTGTTAAATATTTTATTTGTAATGCTAGCTGCTCTTTTGCATCAACCATGGGTCGAGCCTTATAACGGATTACAATGGCGCTTACCGAAGCATTCCCCATGCACACGTGACATACCCTACCCTACCCTACCCACGCACATATATTCCCCTCCCCCTCCAGTCCATCCGGGCTCCCCCTCCAAAGCATATGGGTTGCCCTGCTCGACTGCTTGTTGCCTGTAAAAATGAAGATTCTCCCAACTCGGACTGGCCCTGACGGGATTTGCTGCTTCGAGAACATGCGTGAGGTGGGTGTACATATCGTTGACGCCAGCTGTCCCCCACCTGCATATCCTGCCCTAAAGCTGCCGCCATCACGGAAGAGAATGTGCACTTTGTTTGACGTTGCATTTTCGTATATTCTTCTGCCCAAGAATCAAACAGTTGAAGAGTATCTCGTCAGAAGTTCCTCGTATGTTTTTTCCTGCTTTACTTCTGGAAACTTAACGCGTGGGCAGGAAGAAACTAGGGTTCTGAAATGGAACCAGCGACTTCGTTTCTGTCGAACGGACATCAGGGGCACCAGAAATTAACTGCAACGTGTAGTTTCTGAATAAAGCTGGCAACAACTCAACAAACTCTCTCGACCCACCTGCGATTCGAACGAATGACTACAGCGTCGGTCCCCGTAAAACATTGCCACAGACCCATTTTGGCACAAAGATCCAACTGACCCCTTTTGTGCACCTGGCAGAATAGTGACGGTTCGCTTTATGCGTCCAACTTTGGCCAGTGTTGCTGTAGGTGTGTGGGATGGGAACTTGGAAGTGAGGGGAGGGAACTGCTGCAGGGGCAACCAGAGACAAAAAAACACACAATCGAACGAGTAGGTGAGGTGAGCCAAGATGTTTCGTGGGGGCAAAACCGACGGGAGAAAGCAAGGGAGCCTTGGAGCAACCACCATTGGCACGAGGTTTCCCAGCTGTTCGACGTGTCCCCCCATCACCTGTTGATACAGTAGAAGATCGCGTCGCGGGAGACAGCACCTATGACCTCAAATCCGCGGGGTTTGTTCTGAAAGCGATAATCCGACACGTGATCCCATCCAGTTTGCAAGCCCAACCAAAGGTCCTCCCAACCAACCAACCAACCAGACACAATCTTCCCTCCACCCCTTCCACCCCCTCGCACAGACAGGCAGACAGGCAAGACAGAACAGAACAACCTCTAGCTTGAAGCCTCGCCTGCACCACCACAAATTCGAGAAGCTAGATCCATTCAAACCAGGCCTGTCTTCCTCAAGCTCTTGACTGCAAGCTTGCCTCTCCACCCTTGAACAAATAATCTGAAAGACCACGATCAGAGTTTCCAGCGAAGGGACAGCATTGACCCAATTTTCTAGCTGCCGAGTCGTATTCTCCACATTACAAGTAGTCGTTACAGCCGATTAATCTCCACCTACAACTTCCAGTTGGTGTCAAAAGACACCGTGCGCCCCTTTCCTTCCTTGTTCCCCACCCACAAATTTACAATACCTGCTTTTCGCTCAAAACGCAAACAAGCCAAACTTGAGAGTAAAAATGACGTATTACTCAATATTTATCGGACCTGTTCTAGTTCTCCTGCTCTTTCAAGTGTCTGTCACTGCCGGGGACGGCGGCGACGCCGAACCTGCGCCTTTCCCCGTCCAACCTAGCGCGTTCGAGATTTTTATGCGATCACAGGGACTGTTGCCTGACCAGCCCCAGAATGACGCCCCGCAGGAATCGCTCCCGTCGCAGGCGACTGCGGGCGACGGCGACGGTCGCCAGCTGCGACAGCAGCGAAGGCTCGCAGGCTCCTCCAGAGGCTGGCGAACCCTGAGCGGAGAGACGTCGCGGAAACTTCTAGACTTCGGCCGCGAAATGCGGAGTCCTCAGAGACGTAGGGCCCTCGACGTATCGCCAGCGGCTCCGCAGGCGCTCCAAGCGCCGGGCCTTAACTCCGCGCCGAGCGCGGGCGACATTAACATGACGTGGTACCGCTGGCAGAGCGTCGCACAGCCGAGCGAAGTAGACTGGCGACGGACGATCGTGATGACGCCGGTGCTGAATCAGCAGCTGTGCGAGAGCTGCTGGGCGTTAACGTCGACGGATATCGTTAGCATCGTCTGGGCGTTGGTGAATAATCAGACGGCGGAGCCGCTGTCGCCGCAACACGTGTGCGACTGCGCGGCGGGGCAGTGCTGCGAGGGGGGGTGGCCGGAGTGGGGGTTCCAGTTCATCCTCGCTAATGGTGGACTCGCTACCAATGAGGAGTATCCATATGTTGCGCACGGCAACTCCACGTGCCGCAATATCGCCCAAGGATTGCTGAAGGCCAAGGTGCTAACTCCCTCCCATTGACCCCACATACCGTCCCCTTCTCCCCCCCCCCCCCTCCACCGCCCCTTCCCCCCTCTCCCCTCTCCAACCGCCTCTGGGACCATTTCCATCCCCTACTCTCCCCCCGTTTCCACATTACTTCTTATCGTTAAATGGAATTACTCTTCCTCGTTCTGCTTTCGAGCAACGCGTTGCGCGACAATCAACAGCCTGTTTCACCCGTCGCAATCACTTTCGTGTGGAACGACACTAAAAAAACTCTTCGCGAGCTCCAATCTTCCCTCCTCTTGCCCGGTTCGCGCAGATGACGGGGTGGGAGAAGGTGCCGGTTCGAAGCAACAAGGCGCTGATGAAGGCCGTGGCGCAGCAGCCCGTGCTCGTGTACCTCGCTTCGGGCACCAACGACTTCATTGTAAGCACACCCGTTATAACAACGATACTTTTTTTTTGTTTTATGGTACACTGACTGAGTAACATTTCCATGTTTCCTTGTCTGTGCACTCATGTATTCTCCCATTACTCGTTCTTGCCCATTTCCTTTCTACCTTATGCTTCCCCCCCAGAGCTACTCCGGCGGCATTTTCGATGGCAATTGCAGTGGCGACATTGACCATGCAATGCTTCTTGCTGGTTACAATGTAACTGACCCGGACGGTTCGTATTGGATTCTGAAGAACACGTGGGGAACTAACTGGGGCGAAAACGGTTTCATGCGCTTGAGGATGTTACCAGACGGGAACGGAAAGTGTAACGTGATGAGCGAAAACGCGATTTACCCCGTTTTCTACGAGAGGAACAGCAGGGCATGCGAGGTCATCACGCCCAACCCTTGCGGCGGGGGCGTGTGCGAAGTGCGAAGCGGCAGGGCGAGATGTAACTGTCCCCCGGGTTTCGTTGAGCGTCTGGAGGAGAGTGCGCCCAAGTGTGTTACGGCTACACCGTGTGACGCTAATCCCAACCCTTGTGGTGTCGGGACATGCAATAACGAGTTCGACGGCACCTATACCTGTTCCTGTCCTGCGGTAAGTTGACCTTTCCCTACTACTTGCAGCTGATCTCTCAGTTCACTTCCTCCTAGCCTTTCATTCCCTTCCTCCCTGTCCCCCGGTCTTCCCTGCTGTCATTCATTCATGGTGGTTCCTTTCCTTCGCGGGTGCTAATACTCGCGTATTCTTACCCTTCCCATTCGCTACCCTGCTTGCTACTTCCCCTGCTCTGCTACAGGGCTCCGTGATTGGCTCCCGAACTGACCGTGCCATGACCTGCATCGTAGGCTCGTTCCAGTCGGGCCTTCAAACCTACTCCGTAATGGCAGGCGACACGTGCCAACTGTCGCCGACACCTTCGGCTTCACTATTGAATTTCTCGTGCAGCGGAACCCGTTTCTGGACTGCGATCTGCCGTTGATTCCGGACTACGTTCTCCTAGTCGCCGATGCCGCGAATTTCACTTGGGGATGCTCCGCTATGGATGTAGTCGTTCCAAACGACACCTGCGCGTCAATTGCGTCGCGTAATGGCATTTCTTATCGTCAGCTAATCGCGATCAACCCGGGCTTGAATTGCTCCGGACCGCTCCCGCTTTCGCTTACATTTTGCACTGCGCCGGGTCGCATCTCTTCCAATTCCGCGATAATTCGCTCCTGCGGCAAGGTTCACGACGCGTCGCCGAGCGAACGATGTGTGGACATTGCGAGAAGTTACAACATTTCGCTAAACGATCTCTTGTGGCTGAATCCTGGGCTCAAGTGTACCGATGATTCGCTAGGGGCAGCGGTCGCGGTGTGCGTATCCTCGTTATCAACAGAACTCATCACTGTCACTGTACTCAGTGGTATACAGTAACGCAGGGAGACACCTGCCCCAAAATTGCAAACGCAGTGCAACTACCAGTGACAACATTCCTCCGACTCAACCCAGGCCTCAGGGTAAGAAGCATCACTTTGTTTTTCTCTCAAAATCATATGTTACTACTGTCAATGTTGCAGTTTTGAGTCTAGCATTTTGCATTCTTTACCTACTTACTAATTCTGCACCACTTTCCCGTTTCCCTCCTATTTCTCCTCTCATTTCTGCCAGTGCTATGCTCCCGCCTTCCAAATCGGCCAACCCGTGTGCATCTCCGGAACCTCCACCAACATCCAGAAGATCAAGCTCTCCCCCAACATCATCCCCTACACTGTCCAACCCAACGACACCCTCGCTTCCATCTCCGCCGATTTCTCCTCCCGCTGCTCCAACGTCTCCTACCCCCGCCTCCATCTGCGACTCAAACTCGCTCGCGGATTGCACCGATCAGGCGATTGTTGAGGGGCAAATGCTGCTGATTCCGTGTCAAAAGCTGGTCGGAAGCCAGATCTGCGCAACTTCTCTTCCCGTGTGTGGCTCCGATGGGGTGACATACGCGTCGATGTGTGATGCGGTCGAGGCGTTCGCTCTTCCCATCGTGCGTTACGATGTGTGTAACCTCTGTAACGACGGGCTCTGTTACAAGAGAAACCGGGCAGAAACCGCCGAAAAGCAGCTGTGTAGCGCCGCCCGGAGTCCTGCCCGTACCCGACCTGGAAGCTTCCCCAAGATTATATGGATTACTGCCCAATGATGTTTGCCAAACAGTGCGAATGCTTGAAGGTAAATTGATTGGTTCTTCTTGTTGTCGTTTTTATGTTTTTTGTTTTTTTTGTTATTTCCTCTGTGCGATTCCATCAGTAACATTGCTCGCATGCAACGTTTTGTACACTCATGCTCCAGATCTGCGTATGACTCATTCGTTCCTTCGCCTTTTGCTTTTTGTGCACTGTACATCTTCTCGCCTCTCTACAGTATACATGCACGTACCTCTGCAAGCTATCTGCGTCAACATACACCTACAGCCTCGCCCTCGGCAACCTGTATCGCAACTCCACCTACTTTTACCCGGCGTGCTACAGTGCCTGCTACGATAACAACCTGCGTGCCGCTGCTCTGAGTGACACACTAACGAGATGACAAATGGGTCTTGAGTCCTCTCAAAGGAACGCCCTGCGTGCCACAAGGCCTGCTATTACGACAACCTGAGAGCTGGCTGCTCGGAAGACGCACATCTCTAAGGACAGGCCGGAGAGGGAGTCTCGTCTTATGTTTAACCTGGTTGTTACACCCACGGCTGTGCTCGGGGCATCAATTCCCTCTTCCACATGTGATGAACCTGTGGCGAAACTACAACCCACTTCCACTCCGTGCGCTGCAAGGCCTGTGAGCCGGCTGTGCGAGTGAGAGCAGAGAGGCGGTGACGACGATGTGCCTCCAGTCAGCCTGAAAAAGAGTGCCGTGTCATCAGTTCTACGGTGCCTGCGATAATGCCAGCTGCTCTAAGGAGTTGCAGATGCATCTCTTTACAAGCGCAGCGCAGTGAACAACGTGAATATCTCTTCCTTTCAAGCCCTGGCGGCGTGGGTGGAGGAAAATGGGGTCACAGGAGAAGGGTGGGGTGACATGACAGCACTTCGAATGAGTGTCAGCGTGGAGCCAGGTTTTGTATGGTGTGTGCAGTGTTTCGGATATAAGATATTGGTGGTGGCTCCTCGAACATCTAACATGGTGTGAATTGTTTTTGTCTCCCATTGTATAGCCCTAAATCGTTTACTTTCGTCTGTTCATTCTTTGTAGCTAGACGCTCTTGTATGCTGTAGAGATCAGGGCTTAGTCCAGCTTCTCAATGTTTATGTTTCGTCCATATATGAAAAGCTTGATTTTATGTCATGCACAAAAGGCAGCTCAGTAGGATTATTTGACAAACAGAAACGCTTATTTCGTTAAGATTCGTAATTCTCTTCCTGTTGATATCGGATATGCCAGACCACATCATCACCATAACCAGTTGTCACTGGTCCAAACCTTATCCGAAATTTTTGCTAATGGCTGCTGTTGCAGTCACTTGCGGCGCGCAAGTCGCCGGCGCTGCCGCTCGTTTCTCATCCCATCCTTCACGAAGACAGGCTTTCGCAACTCTTCGAAACAGACTTGTGCAGAAACTCTCGTAATGCGACTCGTGCAGTGAAGCACCGCGACTCGACGCAACCGCGTTCTTCGTTAAGTGAAGCACGCGATTCCGAACGCGAGCAGGGGTCGCTGAAAAAAAGGACGAATGCGGGAGTAGCGAAAGGCGGAAAGGATGAGCAGCTAATATCTATCGCATTGGCCTTCGAATCAACTCAAGAATCAGCATCAGACTTATTGCTGCCTAATGCGGTGGTACCTGACGGACCGTAACACGGCGATCAGCTTTAACCGTAGGGCTCGCTTGCGCCGCTTCGCTGGCGCTGCCTGGATGGACGATTGTGTCGCCTGCTGTCGCACAGGAGTCAGGTACGACGATTGGGTGTTTTGGTGTCGCACAACAGTCAGGTACGCCGATAACCGACGCTCTTCAAATCACCATAAATCACCATTTCACAATCTGCTGCTGCAAGCGGAATCTACTAAGAAACAGAGGTAAAGAAAAGGGATTCATGGCCGCCGTTTTCTTGCAACCTGTAAAGCCACAGCCGCAGCAGCAGCTGTTTAGCGAGCCACAGCCGGACGGCACGGAGCGTGCAACCTCCGTGTCTGTTCCCCCTACGCCCAGCTGTTTCCCCTGCCTGCACCCCAACCGCTACATCTTAATCATCCCTCGCGATTGGCTGCTCCTCCAAGTCAGTCACCCTCAAGGCGTCAAGCCTTCCGCACACGCCCTTTCCCTCGCCTCCCCGTACTGCTTCCTTTGCCTGCAGACCAACCCACCCACTAGCAGCAGCAGCAGCAGCAGCAGCAGCAGCAGCAGCAGCAGCAGCAGCAGCAGCAGCAGCAGCAGCAGCAGCAGCAGCAGCAGCAGCAGCAGCAGCAGCAGCAGCAGCAGCAGCAGCAGGCAAGCAGCAGCAGGCAGCAAGCAGCAGCGCAGCAGCAACAGCAGCAGCTAGGCAGCAGCAGTCAGCAAGCGGCATGTTTCCCGTCCTGTCACCACATCTCCAAGCTCTCTACCTGCGTTTCTCACACGCC